GTAGTATGACAAGTATCATGTTTCAGAAAAAGAGAGTGATCAACATTGGAACGTATGTAATTATTTGACAAAAGAAAAGTAGAAAGTTTGGCAAACCATTGTCGACCAGCTTGTTTCAACCCGTATAGAGATCTTTGAAGTTTGCACACTTGATTTGGCTTGTGAATAGGGAGGCCAAGAGGAGGTTGCATGTAGACTTCTTCATGTAAATCACCATGCAAAAAGGCATTGTTGACATCAAGTTGCTTTAAGATCCATTGGTTAGAGGCAGCAATGGTAAGGAGAAGGCGTAAAGTAGTTAATTTGGCAACATGGGCAAAGGTTTTAAGGTAGTTAAGGCCTTCAAGCTGAATGTAGCCCTTAGTAACAAGGCAGACTTTGAATCTGTCAATTGACCCATCAGACTTATGTTTTATTTTGTATATCCAATGGCATCCAATAGCAGTTGTTCCTGGGATAAGATCAACAATGATCCAAGTTTTATTGACTTCTAAGGCTTTGAGTTCATCATGCATAGCTTAGGTCCACTGAGGTATTTTAGACACTTCCTTGTAAGTGTGAGGTTCAGTTGTGGAGGAAATAGATAGAATGGTGTGCCTGAAATCAGAAGAAAGCTTGTTGTAAGAAATAAAATCAGTAATGGGATATCTATTCATGTTGTGAGTTTGGAAATCTGTGAGGTATGTTGGAGGACGTTTGGACTAGGTTGAACGTTTGAGAGTATCATTGTGGTCATGAACAATGGTGAGAGGATCAGAATCAGCAGTATGTTGATCATCATCACTAGAGGAAGTAGGTTGATCAGAATCAACAGTATGTTGGACATCCATGTTTTCCTGATTAATGGTGATGACAGGTCAGTGGAAGTTGGCACAAAAATACGATTATTAAGAAAATTAACATTGTCATAATCATGTTGATAATTGTGAGGAATAGGTAGAGAAAGAGAGTTAGAGTCATGAATATTATTGTGAGAAGAAGTATATGGAAAGCAATCTTCATGAAACAACACATTACGAGAAATATCTATCTTATGATTTTGTAAATTAAGAAACTAATAACCTTTTGTATTTTGTTTGAAGCCAATAAAAACACCAGGAACAACCCTTACATCAAGTTTCTTCCTGTTGGCAGCTAAGGTGGAGACATAATAGAGACAACCAAACACACGTAAAGCAGATATATCATAAAGTTTACCATTTAATTTTTCATAAGGTGTAGCATTGTTAAGTAAAGGAGTAGGCATGCAATTTATTAATAATGTAGCATATTCAGCAGCAAAACACCAAAATATAGGTAAATTAGCTTGAAAAAGGAGGGAACTAGTGACATTCAACAAATGCTGGTGTTTTCGCTCAACAATACCATTTTGTTGTGGGGAAACAAGTGGTTTGATGGTTAATGCCTTTAAGATAAAAGAAATTATGCATAGTAAATTCAATTCCATTATCAGTACGAATAGTTTTTATGGTGGTTAAAAACTGGTTTTCTATATTTGTAATAAAATCAGTAATGGATTTTCTAACAGATTTATTAGGCATGGGTATCAACCAAGTATATAAGGAGAAATCATCCACAATAGTCAGAAAATACTTAAAACCACGCATGGAAAGAATATTACAAGGGCCCCATATATCAACATGAATAAGATAAAAAAAAATGTTCATTGTATTAGAGTTGCTATCAGGAAAGAGTAACTTTTTTTGTTTAGCACGATGACAAGTATCACACATGTATGTAGGATGATGAACAATGAAAGGGTATTTAAGTTTGAGATTATGCAATATGATATCAGAAGGATGTCCTAATCTTAGATGACATAGGCCAATATCATTTACAATATTGTTAGCATAACAGACAGTAGGCATATTTGAGGAAAAATCTGAAACATACAGTCCACCAGTGAGTTTAACTATAGAAATCTTCTCTTTGGTCTGAATGTCCTGTATAGTACAACCATGTAAAGAAAATGTCAGTTCACAATTATTAGAATGGATTAGTTTAGATATTGAGATAAGGTTAAAAGAGAATTGTAGGACATAAAGAACATCAAAGAGTTGGATCTTATGGTTGAGGTTAACAATTCCAGAATACTCTGAATAGATAATAGTACCATTGGGTAAAGCAATTTGAATAGGTTTAATTTTTTTATAAGAAGAAAAGCTTTTTAAAGAAACACTTATATGGTTTGTAGCTCTAGAATCAAGAATCTATTTATTTTTAAGGGATTTAGAGGTAAAAGTAGGACTGATATTACGTAAAAAGGTTTGATTTGCTGAAACAGAACCGATGTGGTGAACTTGGGCCGAAGTAGAGGAGTCTTTCAGATTATGGGTTTTAAAGAGATTAGCCAATATTTGAAATTGTTGTGATGTAAGACGAATGTGTTCGGTATTGTCAGAATTGTTGTCTTGGTATTTCCATTGTCTTCTTGAACAGAGTTATGGTGAATCTGAGCACTCTTGTTGTAGAGTTTATGTCTTGGAGGGTACCCATACTTTTTATAGCAGACTTCCACGGTATGCCCACTTTTATTGCAATGAGTGCAGCGTCTTCTACTATATGTTTCTGAAACTTCTGTCTTGAGATGGCTAGTAGTGAGGCTGAGTGATTGAAAAACTACTTAGCAAACATTCCACTAGGAATGAAACCAATCCCATCGGTGTCAATACAATGTGATTACCAATCGGCAATAGCTATAGCTAAAAACAAGAATTACAATGGAAAGAATAGACATATTCAATTGAGACATAATTTGGTGAAGCAGCTGCTAAAGAGTGGAACTATTTTCATTGACTATGTGAAGTCAGAACAGAATCTAGTAGATCCTCTGACAAAACCCTTGGGAAGAAATATGATTTTAGAAACATCGAAGGGAATGGGACTTAAGTCACTGGCTAACAAACAAGTGATGGTAACCCAACCTTTGTGATTGGAGATCCCATGAATAAGGTTCATATGGGTAAAAACAAGTCACTTGTTAATTCTGATAGCACTAATTTGATTTTAAATCAAATATGTCCATTCCTATGGTGTGTGTGAAAGTGCTACAGACTGCTATATTGAGAGGTTAAACTTTGTAATTAAACAAAGTTTTTAATGATCTTCATATCCCTTATGGGTGGTGTATGATTTACAGCATACACTTGATGAAATATCCTATGTGAGTGTCAAGTGGGGCCGCTTGCATGAGATCTTGGCATGATCTCTATAGCACTCATGAATACCGGGCACGCGCATGGCCTAGTAAGCACATCACATCGATAACAGCAAGGATTGTGGGGGTATATTGTGATTGATAAACCTCTAATACACTCAAGTATCTTTGGTTCATATAGCTTGTTATACCATCTATACTGTGTGTTAAGTTTCTTGATCTAGGACTGGTTCATATAGCATGATATACCAGCTCTGATGCATTACATCTTATAAAACCCAGGATTTTCTTCTTTTCTTTCTTTCAATCATTGTTTCTTATCTTTTGCAATATGTGGGGGATTGTTATAAATATGAATATTATATTGTAAAATATTTTTGTTTCTAAACGTTAGTACTTTAAATTTAATATTATATTGCAAAAGATAATGATTCAGAACATTGGTGCATTCCGCAAATTCCTCGGGCAGTTTCTTCAGTTTTTTAATGCCAGCGTTGAATGCTTATTCTTTTCCCGCAAGGCTAGGGATTGAGTTTGAACTCTTCCTTAAGCTACGGGATTTGTGGGCACCGCATCTCCTTTCTAGCTCTATAAATAGAGCTTTTCATCCATTCCAAATACACACATTTACACACTCTTTTTTTTTCTCTCATTCTCTTATCTTTTTGTCTTCTTTCTTTTCTTCTAAAATATTTAATTTATTCTCTACTTAAGAGATCCTTACTAGTTCTGAGATCCTCAGAAATTCTAAGAAGTTCCTGTTGTATTTTGGAGGCTTGCGCAATACACCGCAGATAAGTCCTTAAGGACAGTGATCTACACGTCTCACGAAGTCTTTTGTTCGTTATCTTTATTCTATTATTGTCAGCTTCTACAACAATATATAAATGGAGTGCAAATCTAACTTTACAAGTTGATTGAGTTAGGCTTAAAGTCCACTTCTAACATGGTATCAGAGCCATGATTAGCCCTATCGGACTGCGCTTAAAGTCCACTTCTAACAAAAACAAGTTACAAGTCCAATTCCTTTTCTTTTCTTTTATTACATCATGAGTTGAATCTGTACACATTTCATGATTCTTAACTCTCGTTAAAAAGAGCCAATAAAGAATTTACATTTTATGAACTATAAATTTTATGGCTCCTTTTCTGCTTTTGGTCTGAAAGGAAAATGATAAAATTGAAGCGATGATGTTGGAGATGCCAGAACACCAAGAAGAAATGCAATGCAATTTAGAGTTTGGAAAAATAAAAAGCTTACAGATCCTTCTTGTAGAAAAGAAGGTTGGCTTTCTTAGAAGCCCTGCTACTCTGCCAAACAGTTTGAGAGTGCTGGAATGGCCTGGATGTCCTGCAACTTCTTTACCGCATGATTTTCATTTGAAGAATCTTGTCATACTCGACTTGTCATACAGTTACTTTGGATGGGACAAACCACTAGAGGCATGTACAATTTATTTCGTAATTAAAATTAATTTAGCTTTTGGTTGAACACTTAATTCTTCAAAAGAACCAAACTAACAACTGTAGATTTATTGTTTTTCAGAATTCAAAGGTTTTGAGACACTTGATTGTCGTAGGTTGTAAGAATATTAGACGAATACCTGACATCTCTGGTTTCCACAATTTGACAAAACTTTGTGTTGGTGAATGCACAAATCTGATTGAGATTCATGATTCAGTTGGATCTTTACTTCATCTTAAAGTGTTTTGTGCTGAAGGATGTACCAAGCTCACAATTGGTCTAAGTCGCATAGAGTTGAAATCTTTGGAGCATCTGTGCTTTCCGGGCTGCAGCAGTCTTGTTATGTTTCCAGAAGTATTGGCACCAATGCACAAACTAAACCACGTTGACTTGGGAGGAACTGGCATAAGAAATCTGCCACCATCAATGCAAAATCTTAAGGGTATTAAAGTATTGTCCATGGGGAAAGGCCAAATGCTTGAAATTAATGAATCGTCCAATTTCTTTCAAAACCTGCCAATGTTCTTTCCTAATTTAGAAACATTATATTTACAAAACTTAGACATTACAATCCTTCCTGCCAGCATTGAAGAATGTCACTCTTTGAAATTTCTGCACGTCACCAACTGCAAGAAGCTTCAAGAAATTAGAGGACTTCCATTGAATATTAATCAGTTCTACGCAGCAAACTGTTCTGTTAAAGCCAACTCTTTGATATTAAAACTCAGGCAGGTGGGTGTGTCTATCTTCTTTGAGTGATTCCATTAACTAGCTATGACTTTCTTTTTCCAAACTCACGATGCATATAACATGACCCGTTTCACAGGCCATTGATTCTGCTGCAATGAGAATCTGTTTTCTTCCAGGTCGGGAAATCCCAGAATTGTTTGACCACTCTAGCGGGGGAAATTCTGTAAGTTTTTGGTTTTGTAAAGAATTGCCCTCTCTCAGACATTAAAGTATATTTCTGCAGACTGATAAGAGGTACAACAATCGAAATAGAATTTCTACGCAGCTACCATGTGATGGATGAAAANACGTTGACTTGGGAGGAACTGGCATAAGAAATCTGCCACCATCAATGCAAAATCTTAAGGGTATTAAAGTATTGTCCATGGGGAAAGGCCAAATGCTTGAAATTAATGAATCGTCCAATTTCTTTCAAAACCTGCCAATGTTCTTTCCTAATTTAGAAACATTATATTTACAAAACTTAGACATTACAATCCTTCCTGCCAGCATTGAAGAATGTCACTCTTTGAAATTTCTGCACGTCACCAACTGCAAGAAGCTTCAAGAAATTAGAGGACTTCCATTGAATATTAATCAGTTCTACGCAGCAAACTGTTCTGTTAAAGCCAACTCTTTGATATTAAAACTCAGGCAGGTGGGTGTGTCTATCTTCTTTGAGTGATTCCATTAACTAGCTATGACTTTCTTTTTCCAAACTCACGATGCATATAACATGACCCGTTTCACAGGCCATTGATTCTGCTGCAATGAGAATCTGTTTTCTTCCAGGTCGGGAAATCCCAGAATTGTTTGACCACTCTAGCGGGGGAAATTCTGTAAGTTTTTGGTTTTGTAAAGAATTGCCCTCTCTCAGACATTAAAGTATATTTCTGCAGACTGATAAGAGGTACAACAATCGAAATAGAATTTCTACGCAGCTACCATGTGATGGATGAAAATAATATTATTTCCAATTTTTCTCAGATTCTAAAATTTCAAGGTTGGATGTGAGTTTTGGATGCATCTAAGTATAATAAAGATGTTATTTTGACAATGGAATATCGAAATGCTTATGGTACAGGCACGATGATGATATACTTGATTCAGTGGCTTTTTTAAGTGTGTTAAAAAATGGAAAGGTAGTTAATGTTAGGAAAAACTGAAACACAGAATAATTACAGCAACAAATATAAATGTAGATATAATCATCAACATAGATCATAAATATAAAGGTAAAAGAAGTTTAGTGTAGATTGAAAAACGCGAATTGCTATTTTAAAATAATATGATGTGATAATCTTTTGATTTACATCTAACATGTAAATCAAAACCTTGATAACTAAAATCGAACTCACCACTCATAAATTTTATGAAGAACACCTTGATAATTATTTTTAACAAACGCCCATTGGAAACTATTGGTCTAAAAATCTAAATATTTAATGAAGATAATTATTTTTAACAAACATCCTAACGAAGATAGTACTCAGAAAGTTAAATTAAATTTAAAGTGAATTCGTAATATTTAAACATTGAAGTTATATTGGTAAACTATTTTTTAGTTAATAAACAGCTTTTATAAAAAACAAAGCTCCTCAATGAATAAATTTAACTGTTTCCGAATAGCAGTGAAGAATACGAGTACAAGATGATTCAAAAAATCACAGAAGAGGTATCTGGAAAGCTTGCATATTGCCAACTATCTTGTTGAATCGAAAGCTCATAACAAAATCAACTCTAGCACGTGCTATCTACAATTTGATAGCAGATCAATTTCAAGAGACAATGCTTTCTGAATTAGCCAAGGTCACAGATATCAAATTTGGAGAAAAACAAGGTAAGAGTCCTAAGTTACCATGATTTTTGTCCCTTATTAATGACAACTAAGATACTATGATCATCATTTATACTTTCTAAATGATGAAATTTAAGCCATGATGCCATGGTGGGGTCTTCTGCAGCTTCTTTACCATTTAATTTCATTCAAACAATCTTGTCACACTCGATTTGGGCAATATCCGTCAAATAAAGTTTTACAACGATATATTATTAAGAAATAAATTTTAAATCTAGTTTACAAAATCCATTTATAAAATGAGATTTAGATCTATATATATTTTAAATTAATTTTATTATCTTTTAATATAAAAAATTTCACAAAAACGGATATCCTATATCTTCTATCTTCTCTCTATCTATCTCTATATATATCCCAGTAAATCCCAACCTACCATTTCAAAAAGTTTTATTTATATTTTCAATTTGGCTATATGTTTGGGAATGGCGAAGAATTCATTTTTAGTATAGTTCCTTGAGACTTAAAAAGTTGTTGCCTAGAAGAATTTATAAACACACGTTTTCTATCGGAAACTATAAATTTTGGAAAACCATAAATTTTGCCTACATTATTAATTAATGAAAGCATCAGCTACTATTTTACTTGTAAAACCAATTTTCAAAGAAAATGTGTAAATTTAGAAAGCCTATCTACGACAAACATAATGCTAGTATAGCCATATGATAAAGGTAAATGAAGTCCAAAACAATATCATCCCAGACCTTATCAGGAATTGCTAAAGGATTCAACAAACCATCTGGAAGAACATTTGATTGGTTTGGTTTAGGCAGCATTATCATTATAACAACATTGGATAAGCATCTGTCAGATTTCATGAAGTTGAAAGAATTGTGTTTGTGAATGCTCAAATTTGATCCAGCTTCATGATTATGTTTGATCTTTACATAATCTTCTCAACGAGTCGTGACATGTTTAACTGATTCTAATACAACACAGCATATATGAATTCTGATTCAAAGGTTTCGTTTGCCTTCTGCAATTGTCTCCACAATCAATTGCTTAAAAATGCTAACAACACATTCTAATATTACTAGTAAGAAGTTGTTTTTTCCAATCTGACAATGACAGATTATTAGTTCTTCTGCATTACAGTTCTATCCTCTGCAAGGTCAACGGACCCATAATGGTTTGATCACTCTACTTGGGGAAACTCCATGTTTCAGGTTTTGTAATAAATTGCCATCTTTCACTGTGTGTGCAGTTTCAGAAGTTTGTGATAATATCAAGGTTCCTTTGTGAATGAAATTAATGATGTTGACACATGTGTTTCTTCTGTCCCTTTTAGGGAATAATGTAAACCGGTGGCTTCCTCAGAAACACCATATATTTATGATCAATCTTCAATGTCATTTTCAGCATCCAATGCAGAATCAATCTAGAACAGTACTTAACAAGAATGAGTGGAATTAATCAAGTGAAGTTCTGTAATGGATCCTTATCCTTCTAATAACACAAATTATGTGGAAAAAAATCTTCTGTTTGTAAAGCTCTTTGTTATAAAATAATCATTACATTACATTAATCAACCTTTCATTAGACTATGAAATTGATGGACAAACTTTGAGTTGTGTCTAGCAATTTAGATTCAAAGTTTTTACTCTATTTAGTTTTGCTTCTATCAATCTATCAATGTTATTTAAAGCTGTCATGGATCAGCAATATAGCCCAAAAAGAAAGCCTCTGTATTTTGGGTCCTCTCTCAAGTTATTCAACCCACAAATAAAAAGGATATATACATAATTGAAAAAATGTGTCTAATATCCTTTCTTTTTTGTTTGGGGTGAAGTGAATTTATGTGTATTTAATGAATTTTGGAGAATTTTAATGAAAGTCTTTTATGTATAGAGATATGTAGTTAAATACTTAAGTTAAAAGTAATACATAATTGACCAAATAAGAACTGGTTAATGTTACACTACAAAAAAGTAGGGCATTACCGAAGGCCAGAAACCCTCGGAAAATGCCAAAAGCCGTCGATAATGGACGTTTACCGAAGGCCTATCGACGGCCAAAAATCCTTCGGTAAATCCCTTGTCGCTAACCATTACCGAGGGCTTCTGACCTTCGGTAATTACCGAGGGTCAGAAGCCTTCGGTAATTACCGAAGGGCGAAAGCCCTCGGTAATTACCGAAGGGCGAAAGCCTTCGGTAATT